AAGGAAAGCAGAAATGTCTCAAATCGAGATTGCCCCCAAAGATGTTATATCATGAAACCACAGCCTGAGTATATAGCTGCTATACCAAAACACAAAAGCAGAGCTTGCTTTCAAGTGGCCATTAAAGCCAATATGATGGTGATTGAGAGTATAGCATAACATTTTTGTTCCTTTCCTGGACTAACAATATCCTCTACCAGCAAGTATGCCAGCCTATAGACTTCTACCCTTTGCAAAAGCTGATTAGAAAACTGGAAGCTTGATGCAGACAGAATATCAGTATTTAAAGTAACAGTTTTCATCTTTCAAAGCTTATAGCATGCATTAGTGAAATGAGTAACCCTGACTGAATGCACTCAGAAAGCAGGACCACAAGAATACAAACTATTACAGGTTATACACATAGTACTTCAGACAGGTTTTATGAAATGGGGAGGTTTATATGATCACACAGTCTGCTTGCCTGCCAGTGCATCTATTTCTCCAATCCATTCCCCACCATAGCTTTGGAAGGCACCATCCAGTTTCAAAAAAAATTGTCAGAGTAACTGAACTCTCAATACAATGATGCTCCAATGAATGGGAATGATCCTTGGAAAAAACTAGAGTTATCACAGTAATGAGGAGAAGCAGGTGAAGGGAGGTGTCATAAAAATAAATTCCTTAATATTTCAGAAGTACTCAATTATTGCAGCAATGAGCACTGTGGAAAAGCCCATACAGGCCTAAATACTTTTGAATCTAAGGATCAGTATATGTCGAGTGATGCAGTGTCACATATTGAACATGGAGGGTAACGTGAAATATGAGAGATGTGAGACAGAAATCTACTGGATCTCAATCTTTCTCCTGCTGTAACAATACATTTATATGTATTCATATAAATACCTGTCAGCTAAAAGCTGGCTAGGTTTCCTAATTGATAGCATAAATCTCATGTAAGCCTCTGTTCCTCACACCTTACTTTCAAGCTCCCTCCACCTGGATTGCCAGCTCCAAATCTAGAAAGCTGGAGTATTTTTTCCTCAGATGCCTCATAGTAGTCAGATATCCTAAAGCTTCCAATTACATTAATCCAGTGCCAATCAAAGAATTATTATCAGGGTCCTAAAGGCACTAAAAGGACTTTAACAGCCCTGACCAGCCCCACCTGGAACTCCTATTCCTCCGTCCATTGGCCTGGGGGCTCCATTTAAGCACAGCCCTGGGTTGTCAGCCCTTATTTGAGCTCTCCTGTAGATATGCCTCTCTACGTCTCTGCCTCCGGCTGTGCCTCCTGGATGGAGCTTGGGCTTATGCTGTAGGTAACTTCCCTCCTGGTGGACTCCCTCACAGGTGTTGTAGCTTGTCTCCCATTGTGCCTCCTGGATGGACTTTGAACTCATATCATAGGCTTGTTTCTGGGCCTGTCTCTTGCTGGTCCATCCCCTTGCTGTGTCTAGGGCTATCAAAGGACTATGGTACCAGCTCTATTCTCTGTCTACTGTGCTCAGGATGGTGCCCCCTTAGTGAGCAATTGGTCCTTGCTGTTCCCTGACAATGGTCTCCTTAATCATCATTGCCTTGCAACTCTGACCTTGTTTTCTAGGGCATGGAAAAATATTGACGTAGTTCCGCTGAATTTGTACTCTTCTGATTATTTTCTCTATGTTTGCATAATTATCTTTGTGTTCCAGTGAGATCCAGTGCATCCTGAGGTCTTGGATTTAGTAGAGAGCACAATCTTCTACCTTTTTTTGGACCTACTCTTGTGAGAGAGATGTGGACTTACTCCAGTAGTGAATAACAAGTCAGGGACATGCCTGCTCTCCTTGTTGGGTGTGACTCTCACATATTCCCTTCCCTAAGCAGATATCCTATCTCCTATTTTATCTGACAGCTTCCTGTATTTCATTCTTTTTCCTTCCTAGTCTTTGGTCTCTGACTGCCTCTCCTATCTCTTCTTCTGCTGTCTGAGAAAAAATCTTCCATGAGAACCATCCACAGGTAACATATGGCAGACTTACTTTCTCTTCCATTATACTTTACCTTTGCCTCAACACCCATCAATTCTCTTCTTGTTCTTAAACCTATACAAAAAAATGTTGCTCAGACCTAACACTTTCTAAAAAAGTTCCATGCCAGCTCCACTGTTTACTTCTCCCTGCTCAGTGGCTCTCCTGTCTGCTGGCTGCTTGGCTTTTCAACCCTTTGTGTAAGCCAGTCATCCTTCCACATATATTTGGTAAAATGTTCAATAGCAGGGATCACAGGCAGGAAGCTTCCTTTATGCCTCTGTCCTACTCACAACATGCCACTCCTAGACAGCCTCCACAAACTACAGTTTGCAACAAACCAGTGGGCGATGAGCAAACTAGCACATCTACTTACCTCCAAAGAACAACCAGACTCTTCTTTTCTCGCTGAATTTTGCTGTTTACTTTATGAATAATTGTTCATGAGTGTTCACACCATCTGTGCTGTGCACTGTAAGCACAGGGTCCTGTGGAATAGAGAATATTTGATCATGTCATTCAAGGCTAAATCAAGATTGCATGGTTTAATCCTGCCATTTCCCAACTATACAATCTCAGCATTTCTTTAATGTAATTTTCTAATATAATGAATGCACAGTTTGTATATATTTCTATACAACCCAATGGGCCAACTTGCAAATTTTTCATTGAAATACATCAGCATTTTTCTAAGGATGGATTCAAGATCTTGCTTCTGATTTATTTTGGAATGAGCTGTAAAGTTCAGCTAGTCTAAAGTTTGGGGACACTAAAATCCACAGTTCTGGGTCAGGCTGATGTTGGTCCTTTTCTCTGTTCTATGGCTTCTGAAAAGCAGCCCCTGTGTCCACAGGGGGGAACTTATAAGCCTGAAGAGCCAAACACCAATAGAGAGAAGCTTGACACTGTTGCTTATTAGTATTGTTGTCTTTGTCTCTGTCATTTGTCATCCTATTTAGTGCTTTGAACACAGACAACTTTCTTGTACAAGGGTCTGGAGAGGCATCACATAATGTGCTACGTGCTGTATCCTCCTGAGGTTTACTGGTGCTGAGCTTTGACAGAAATGCATACCCTGAAGTCTGTGTTCAGTCTTCCGTGAGGAGGCAGCCAACTGCTCTGTGCAGCAGCAAATCTGCCAGCTGGCTGTAGAGGGGCAATGGCATCAGCTGCAGCCTATCCCCTTTGCTAGCAACATGACATATCTGCTCTGGGAGGATTAGAAATCAGAAGAGTGGAGACCAAATTGCTGCAGGGAGATGGGTTTGGGGGCAGGGGAGTGCATTCATGCAACTGGTCTTCTGAACATTTCTCTCAATTCCAAGCTACCTGTGATGTGAGATGGGGGAAGGGAGGGACAGCAAAGGGGGCGTCTGACTTTCAGGAAAGACTATGGAGAAACATAACGCACATTAGTGGTGAGATTAAAGGATTAGATTCAATTCACACCGCAGTCAAAATGAAATCTCAGCCTCTGCTTTTTGTATAGCATGCAGTGGGCAAGAGCTGTGACCGTGGTTACAGAGCTTAGCATCCTCAACAGTGCACAGAGGGAGAGGGGTCCAGTCCCTGATTTCTGTGCATCCTACTCTCTATGCTCAGCTCTATGCTGAATTTCTCAGGGGAATCCTTTCTTGGAGGCATTGCAAACAGATACTGGAATCCTTTTTCTTAGTAAAAAAAAAAAACCAACCCCCAAAACCCACAAACAAACCCTACACAAACAACCCAAACCAACAAAAAACCCACCAACAAAACAGCTCTTGTAAAGCACTTCTTGGATCTAGCTTGATATGACAGAATCTTGTGCACCAAATTAGTCTATAGTGGAACTGGCTATTATATTCCTGGTGTGTGAACTGACTTGAGAACAGAATATTTTCATGATTAAAATTTGTTATTGTGTTCCAATGAAGGCAGATAAGTACAAAGGAGGCAAGTTCTTTTTCTCAAGTAATTTTTCAAGCAAACAATCACAGAGAACTCTACTATTCAGCCAGTTTTAGTCAAGATTTTGCACATTTTTTCCCCCCAAATATTTCATAAACTGTTGTTTCCTAGCTAGGTGGGTTTATATGCTTAGTGCTTGTAGATCACCCCCATTCTTCAGCCATGCCAGCTTTTGCTCATTTTTGTTGAGCATCTTCCAATTTCTTATTTATCTGGTAATAAGATGTTCAAAACTGAACACAGTATTGCAAGTACATTTTCCCATTCACTTGGAGTTACAATGGTCTTAGTTACGCAGTCCAAATTTTTACTGGGCCTTTTCTGCTAACCTATTCCTTGCATATTCATGTGTGAGTTGGTAGGTTGGTGCCTACTGCATCTAACTCTCTTCAAACATCTGTGCTTTCCTTTCACAGAATGTGTGGTCTGGATTGTTTTTCTGTGGGTACACTGGTTAGTATTTTTCCTGGTTTAATATTTTTCTACATTTTAAACTGTGGTAGGAGGTCCAGGATTACTTGCTCATTCTTTTAACAATTTATAACTTAGTAACTCACGGTGATTTCATTGCCCTAAATTTATTCTCCCTTCCAGACTGCTGTTAACATCAAATAAGACAGGGTCCAGCATCGTCTGTTAGGCTGTGCTGTCCTGTGACTCAACTCTGCTAGCTGGGAGTGTATTCGACACTGCCTGCTCAGGCTCTTTGCGTGCTCTTGCCCTGAACTTGTAAAGCAAAGTAAGCTGCGTTGGTGTACCTATTTAAATAACCCAGAGGCTGTTCATTAACGTGGTAGTAAAATAGGCAAGTAGAGAATTAAAAAGAAATTGTTGCCACATATGTTTAAACTGGAAGATAGGAAAAATCTACATCATTAGTGACTATGTGAAGAGATGGGGCTATGCTTTCAGCTCCAGGCTCTGTGGTTTTCCTAAGAGAGCCAGGCAGCTGTGTGGGAGTCATGCAGCAGAAGTCCCAGCTCCTCGTGAGGCTGTTGGGCACTTCGCTGTGTTCTTGCTTGTAGCTATTTGAATGTATTCTCTTTCCCCTGACAGGTCCATGGGACGTGTGTGTGTAGACACAACACAGCAGGGGAGCACTGTGAGAAATGTGCACCGCTATACAATGATCAGCCTTGGAAGCCAGGAGATGGAAAAACAGGGGCACCAAATGAATGCAGAAGTAAGTGGAAGGGAGTTTCCTGATCCAGGCTTCCAGGATGAGCACTCACCATGCAGCGGGCAAAGTTCCCTAACAAAGACTTCTGTTGATTTGCACTAATGGTGCCATTACAGAAACTGGGGATAAACTGCTGGTCATTGATGGAAAACTTCGGTATGTGTGTTTTACTGCAGCTGACCCATTTTGGCTTTTAGGAAGTGGAATTTACAAGACAGAAATCTGTTCTTCATGCAGCTCTGTCCCCTCACGTGTTTTAGCATGCCAGGGTTTTGTGCAGGGCTTCCGATACCATCAGATTGGTTTGTGTTACTGTAAGAACACCACACAGCTCACAACCACCCAAGATTCTCAGACCCTGCTGGGGCTCTCTGTGTTGCAATTTCTAGTTTTTATGAAAATCAAGGATTACAGGCAGATGAAATGTGTTACATTCGGGTATTTCTTCTGATTCACAGTAGGAAAATGATACCATTTGAATAGCGCTGCCGTGTCATTTATATAAGCCTGAAATATATTCTCCTGTTTCCCACCAGAGTGTCGCTGTCACAACCATGCTGACAGCTGCCATTTTGACCTGAGTGTTTGGCTGGCATCAGGAAAGCGCAGTGGTGGAGTCTGTGACAACTGCAAGCACAACACCGAGGGACATCGGTGTCAAAGGTGCAAACCAGGGTATTACCGAGACAGAGGGAAGCCCATGTCTTCTACAGAGGTCTGCAAACGTAAGTGACTATTGTTATGTGCATTGAAGACGAATGGTGGAAGAAGCATTAAAAAATGATTAAAAGAAAGAACTCTAACTCCTATAGAATCAGTAACTCCTATAGAAGTAATTCATGAGTACTACTGTCCTTTCTTTGTATTCTTTTCCTAACCTACAGCTTTCTGACCAAAGGTCATCTTCCTGATTTTCTGTGCCTGTTTCTCCCCCTGGTATCACACTTTTTTGTGATAACTGCTACAGTTCTCAAAGTGCATTGCCTTCTGGGGAAAGGTACATTCTTTTTGTACTTGCATTTAAAATAATATGGTTCCTTTTTTCTTGAGACACACTTTATTTAGCTGTGTTTTTTCTGCATCTGTCAAGACTGTGTGCCTGTGTGTAAGCTATTGTTGAATTCCATTTGATTGTGCAACGTTTGTGCACATAAATATATATAAAACAATGGCTGCAGGAGGTGTAGGAAGCATGAGACCATGCATATTCACTTGGAACAAATAGATCAGAGCTCAGTCAGACTTATCTCTGGATTCTACAGCTGTATTATGGGGTGCTCTGTCCGAATTAATTGCCTCATTAACGTTTCAGCAGAATGTGTTAGGAAGTAACTTGGGCATAGAGGCACTAATATGGGTGTACAACCTCTGGATCATGGTAGCTTGCATCCAGCCAGTCTGGAACATAGTCCAAATCTCCCTTGCTTAGTGTAAACATTTCCTAAGTGTCCTGCCAGGCTTCACACATCTGATTCCATCTGGCATCTGTTTGGGACATTGCTGTTTCCAACAATGTACATAATTTCATTTCTCCCTTTGGATAGTTTTCCTTCCCCATAGCTCAGACATCAGTTGACAGCAAAGAGAACTTCATCCTCTATCATCTATACTCATGCCCATTGGTATCATGTGCTTTTGAAACTTTCCTGACCCTTTGATCATCTTCATCAAGATTCTTCACAAACACTCTTCTCCCTAGGACTGTAAGGCCTCTGATATTGCTTAAACTTTCTGTGCACAACACATCCTATGGTTTTGCTCTTTTTGTATTCTTTCAACTGGATCTTAGTGCCATTGCAGACTGCTTCCACACAACTCCTTTTTGATTTCACAATGTTCATCACAGAACACTGATCAGCAGACAGGGCTGGGAGTGAGCTTATCTAACTCGCCATGTATCCCATTGTGTTCTACGGTGGCCCCTTTCTAGTCCTGTCTCTACTCTGAGCAGATTTGCTACAGGGAAATATTGTAATGAGAATAAATTGTTGTGCCAGAAGATTAGTTTTCAATCTTATAGTACCTGAAAGAATCTGTGTATGAACTCTTGTATTTAACAGCAAGGTGATGGTCACCAACATCGTGTGTAATATTAGATAACCCCAAAAGTCAAGGAGCACTGGAGAGCAGTGAAAAGGAAAAATCAGTATTTGAAAATACAGCCTATCTGTGTGGAAACCCTAGAACAGTCTGCCTGGATGAAATCAGACCTTGAGTCTACCTCTGCCTCTTTTGTCTGGTCTGGTTACAGGCCTTTCAGTACCTCCTGCCAATGTTCTGCATAGGAAAAGAAAAACTGTTCAGAAATTTACCTTGCTGAAAGAGCTTTATTCCTATCGTGCCAGTCAAGCACAATAATGTTCTTTTCACCTGGGAACATGCTGCTGCCAGCAGAAGGCCCCCAAATGCAATTGTTTCCACTCTGACTTGCATGCTTAGGCCTAGATAGCTGTCATCCTGCTTTAGGCACCGGAAAGTTGTATGTCTTTTCTAGGCTCCCTGTACAGCCAGTGGAGAAACAGTGGGACCTCTAGGGAATGATCTGTTGCAGTCTAACGTAGATGCCTGAGACAGATGAGCTGAATTGCCCTCTAGAGGATATCTATTTCTCTTCCTTGACTAAAGAGGAATTCTGGATCACTAGCCTGCACTAGATTTTCTGTTGGTTGAGATGAATCTAATGGGTTTGATTCAGCATTATTGCAAATAGGTAAGCCTGACCCTATCTGCATGATTCAAGTCAATGGGACCTTTTACAAGCATGTAAAGGCATGCATGAATGCTTGCCATATCAAGATATAAGGAAAGGGTGTTGCAGCTCACTCTAGAGAGCCTCAGCTTTTACAGCAGACTGATGTGTACATGAAGCTTGTACCTGTATGAAAATAGAAGGGACACTGCAGATATAACTACAGAGTTAAGAGAAACATGGGAAGGGGGTGGTTAGTTTGTGCCTTTTCCCTTTTATTTAAGGTGAGGAGGAGAATTTCCACAGTGACATTTGACAAATTACCTTAATAGGGTAGTGTTTTGTATGATGAAAGAACCAATCCTCAAACACCTCCCTATGTGGTTTGCAGGTGGTGTATAAGTGCCTTCATGGTATGTGGTACGTCTGCAGAGAATTTTCAGGGAACATCTCATTACTTTGGTTATCAGTGACAGCAAAACCAGAAACAGCAGTGCAGACAGGCAGAGTTGTTTTGGTTAGAACAGACTCAGTTTGATAGAAGGAAGATTTCACCTCCAGGACCATCATCAGCTCTTTGTGCCTACAGCTGATATTAAACTGAAAGGCCTCATGCAGGATGTAAGATAGAAGCCCTCTTCTCCATCCTTCAGGTTGCAAAACTTGCATTTGCTATTAAACTTAATCTGGTGTTGTCTGAGCAAATGTTCAGGTTGCACAACCCTAAAAACAGCTCTGGTAACTCAGTAAAAAACAGTTATTGTTTTGAGCATTGCTAATATGCAAGAAATTAGACAATTAGACCACCAGGTACATTACTCTCATACCTCAGCCTTCATAAATTGAAGAGCTGCCACTTCTGGATTAGCATGTTTGTGAGGATTTAAATGTACCAATTCCAAAGCATCATCTCACTTTGAGAAAACCATGCAAACAGTGCCAGACTAACAACACTAAATGAAAAACCCACCCACTGGGCAAGTGCTGAAAAGCAGTAATAAACTGCAAACAGCAGACTTAGTGGATGATTTTGGTGAGAACAACCTGGTCTTCAGCTTCCTATTTTGAACTCGGGGGGGACAACCCTCAATGGGAGATCAAAACTTGACCCTTGTGTACAGTAGATACTGAGCTGGGAAAGGAAATCTGATGAAAAAGCTGAATGAAATGCTGTACTAATCCCTTTGAGAAAGCACGCTTGAAGAGTGCTCTGCCATCCAGAGCAAAGTCTAGGTTCAGCTGTGACATCCCCCTCAGGCTCCCAGAAAGTTAACAGGACACTGCCCAGGCCCAGAAAGTCTTTAAGCATTAGTCATAATAATGAACAGCATTCTCTCTTAATCACTGCTAGGAGAAAAAAGTTGTATAACAATTGGATGTCCTGGCACTATCCAAACCACCCTTTGCTGACCCTCCAATGTGAGACTGCAAAGACATTCCCTTGAAAAAAAAAAATCTGTTGAGATTTGACATGAAAGTGTGAATCTGCTATTCCTTTTTCTCAGAGGTAGCCGGCCTCTGATCTTTTTGCTTCCTCTGTTCCTAGCAGCGGGGGATGAATGAGAGCCAGGTAGTCTGCAGAACCTTGTTTTGACACTGCTTAGATCTATATGTAAAAAAAAAAGAGATGGTAGGGTGGTAAAAAGAGCCCCAGAGCAAGGCACACACCTGCCTGTTATTGGGGGTGACAACACAGGATTAAGTAGTTTGGATATAGACATGTATGGGAGCTTTGACTTGGAAGCCTAATCGTTTTCTAACCAATGGTTGGAAAAGCTGCTGTATCCTTGGCTCTTTCCTGTGGCTTATTTGGAGGCTTAAGGGATCCTTGTGAAATGGCACCATCTTTTGTATTCACCCTTTGCTTAGCTTAAAAAATAATGCAGGCATGTAGACCCATTAAAAAGGGTCTCCAGGAAAACAAGCTTTTTTACTCTAAGCACAAGGGTTGAAAATTAAAATGTGCCCAGATGCGCATACATCCCCCCCATACTCTGAAAAGCTCTGCTTCTCATCCTTTTACTTCTGAGCAGAGGGAGTGAACTTTTAATTGTAATATCACAAAGGCCTGATCACATCTTGGTTGAAAGTCTGTCTTAATCAGCCCTGACCACACACGCAGCTGTCTATCTTATTTCCTTCATTTAAGAAACATCATTGCCTGAGTCAATCCCCACATCTGACACACTTTAAAAATTGCCCTGATTTGGTCATATGCTCTGAAGATGCACATGTATATTTCAGATTCAACAGTCTTTGATTTTTTTTCATTTGCCTGTTTTTCATCAAATAGCCAGAGTCTGCTCATAGCTATATCTTATGTAGTATTATTAGACATAAGTTTAAGGCAAGATACCTCAAAGTCTACTGAATTACTTGGAGGACTTGCTATTTTCCTATAAGTTTGGACCATACTGTTACAACCAGTATTATATTTTATATCTGTGTCTAATTACATGGGAGAGACAGCTGTGCTGAGGGCAGACAGATTTATTGGGGACTTGAGTGGAGACTGCTGTATGAATTATTCATTTTTCATTATTCCTTGTCTACTCCTTTTTACAGTAGTTTCTGACAAAACAAACTTAGTATAGGAGTGAGACGAAAAGACAAGAGGATGCTTTGTGATACATTATGACTGATAGCCAATTCTAAAGTACCATGATGAAATTTTTCATTACGCTGCTGTCAAGGGGAGAACCCAAATAAACCAGCCATCTCTGAGCCAGAACTGTCTGCACACCGTCCCTAACATAATTGACGATGCCTTTGACAAACAAGGCCATTGTCACGTCAGCTGGTGTTTTGTTAGACAGGGAGGCGGATGGAGAGAAAACTAGGTTTGCCAAGAGAAAAGAAGCAAAAATCAGCAGGGAAAGATGCTGTGTTGTCAAATATTGGGAAATGTAAAAAGGTGAGGTTTTGGAAACTTGTTTTTATGTTTCTTTAATTGTGAGGTTTATCTGCAAATCTGTACTATTAAACAGATAAAACCCAGTCATCAACAGCTGCCCCTTCAGCATGTGACATGTGGGCTCTTATTTTGGGAGTTACCTTAGATGCACATCTGGGATTTTGGCCGTAATACTCTGGAAGCCAGACAATGTACACACCCAAGCTGAAATGCTAAATAAACACAGACTGAGTAAAGCATTTGCAAACCACTTGTATAACTCATCTGAAAGTATTGTACGTTTATTGGTTCAGCTTGCTTTCTGATCTACCAGAAGCTGTCCCAGTTTCTCATTTGGGAACATTAGTTTTCCTGAACTGTAGCCCCAAAATGCAGAAAGAGAAGAAAAAAAAAAAGGGACTTTTTTCCTACTTCCTCATCAGCTTCTGCCAATGCTGTCACTCACTGTCCTGTCATACTTTCCCTTAGGGATAGGATGGGAGAAAGTCCCACCTTCCTGAATCAGAATCTAGTCTCAGTTGGTGATAGGTAGTTTAATGATGTTAGTGATTTACCCATCTGTTCTGTGACCGTAACTGAGGAAACCTGAAAACCAGAAATAAGATAGGAATAAAGACGGACCCAGCGGTTGCAGAAATATAAGAAATTTAAGGTGAAAACTCCACAGGTAGATCCTATATACAGAGCTATTACAGTGAAATCAGAAACCTGGATTCAAGCCAACCCAAATGTTGGCAACCTCTTACTTCTTGTGGCTCAGACCTGTCTGCAGTAGAGGAAATGTGTGTTTTCCCTCTTTAACCCCAAATCTGACATACTTTTTTTTTTTTTTTCCCAGCGATGGGTGGAACTAAGTGTCTTTTCTTTTAGGGTGATATAGTCAGCCCTGAAAAAATCTGGGCAAAAATAATTCAAGTTGAGCAGCAACAAATCAGAACTTGCCTTTGAAACTGTCAGTGCTAATGAGCACTTCATTGTTACACCTGCTCTCGAGAACTGACAGCAAAATCCCTGGGTTTGCTCCCAAAGTCAAGACTGCTTTGTGGCAAACAGGCGAGCCTGCTGCCATCCGCCAACCAGCTCATTGTGTTGAGTACATTGCCCATGACAGCACGCTTATTTTCTGTCCTTAGGCTATTGTGCTAGTGTCCCTTGAAAACAACGGACTGAGATGTGTCTACAGCAGAGTGTAATAATATTATTAAAAATATTGGCATAAAGAACACAGAGCATAGTGAAAAAAATAACTATGTAGTAAGCAGATCATAAGAGAAATGTCCTTTAAACAAAATAGCTCACCCTTTTTCTCGTACTATTTTCAAAAGATATTTTCTTTTCTTGAGCATCAAATATGAGGTTGCAGATGAATGTGAATCTGTCCCTGCTACAGTTAATACTCTTCATAGTCATATACTTGCCCCTTCCCTTGGAAATGATGTGTGGAATCAGAGTGTTCATTTGGTCTTTTATCTGTGAGCTCATGAAGAAAAGTAGTTTGATTAGAAGCAATGATGGGAAAACTTCAAAAGCTTTGGCGATCATGTTTGGTTCAGATAAGGATCCAAAAGGCTGGCCTCTGATCCAAGCTATCTAAACACCTTGGGTGTTCAACATTTAACTGAAAATCTCTGTTAAAGCAGGTCTTAGCCACAAGATTTTTATTTCTGCCCTCTTCCAGATGGATGAAGTAGTGATGCATTTCCTTTTCGGTCTCTGCTACAAGTAAAAGCTAGGGCACGCCGCTTTGTTGATGCAAAAAAAGAGCTGAAATATCAAGGCCTGGAGTTCAGCTCAGTTCTCACTTTAATCAAACTTGTTTGAATATCAGAAATGAGTGGATAAGTTTATTGCTTGTATTTTACCTCTGCAGAGCTGTTGGCACACAGCTTGGCCATCTCAGCTAGCCTCTGCCCTGATGGAGAGGAGTCAACTGTGTTGGCTTTGCACTACTATCTGTATATGACTTTCTGCCTCACTCTCTGATGCTGTCACATTGGGAATGTACTGGTGGTGTGGGATTATGACAACTTATTGTCTGTGAAGGCAGAGTTGTCCACAGGAGCTATAACTATCTGTGTTACTGCCAAGTTGCCTTGAGTTGCCAGGCTGGTGTCAAACTGGCAATAGTATGAGAAAGATCTGGGGGTTTTTCCTCCTATTTGCTCATCTCCATCTACATGTAAAATATGTCTATTGAGTTTAGAGATTCCCTCATTCAGTCCGCTTCCTTAAAACAAATCTGCTCATGTATTTGTACAAAAATTTCATCATCTTCCTTACATACATACAGTACTGCATGGTGAGATGTGTCCCTTAGAACTCACACTGAAGGAAATTTGTGGACTCTTTGGAGGCAGAAATCAAAAAAATGTTTCAGGTCATCTGAACCACCTGCACAAGCCACATCTAGCCCCAGAGGAAACAGTTGGTTTGTGATCTCTGTTTTCACAGGAAAGACAATGTAGGCATTAGCTATAATTTTTTTTCCTTGTCCATGCTAGTGAATCTTTTTGCAAAACACTTTAAAAGTGAATCACCTGCAAACCCCTTTAAAAATAAACACGCAGTGGAGGTTTTCTGCCACCACTTCAAAACCCTGTATGGTCAAGATTTGTGTAGTAGCGAGAACTGACTTTCACAATTAAGTGAGTCCCAGTTGTACTTGTTTTGCTGTGCTTAATAAGTTAAAAAGAAACAAAAAGAATATTGCAGGTGTAGGCTGACAATGCAAAGTTTACCAGTTCTGACTTAAAACTACTGAGCATAAAGAAAAGAGCACAAGTTTATCAGTCTTGCAAAAATGTCACTTAACCCAATGACTCCTGGGCACATAATCTCAGTCACCTCTTACCGTATCTCCATAGCTTGCGCCTGCCAGCCAATGGGTTCAGCCAACGCAACTTTCAGCAGAAGCTGGCGATGCCACCCCAAGACGGGATTCTGCTACTGCAAGCCGGGTGTGGCAGGCCCCAACTGCGATAGATGTCTCATGGGCTACTGGGGCTTTGGAGAAAATGGCTGTCGCCCTTGTGACTGTGCCAGAGACTGCGACCAACATACTGGAAGCTGTTTCAATGGGTAAAGAAGCCCTCCTTTGGGTTCATTTTGAGATGGGATTCTGTGAAATGAAACAAAGAATAACTGAAATACTGCAGCAATGACAGTAATTGGAGGATGCTGGAGGGTGCATGATTGTTTGAAAAGGTGGCTGTAAATCATAAAAGGTTTCTTAGATTCCATTTGGTAGCTGGCACACTTTTAAGTCCATTCTATTATCCAAGGCAATCTTGACAGGATGACTTTTTGCAGTAATAATAGGCAACTCTACAACTCCGTGGAAATATGTACAGCATCTTTGAATATACCTGTTTGCCTTGGAAATAGATGGAAGATGCTGGAGAGCTTGCCTCTCATCTGTGCCCAGGGTAAAAGGAATTACAAGGTCTCCCTCTTTTTTCTGGAGGGCAGGCATCTGTACCCCAAGTGTGCATTAATCAGTACAGAAATCCTATGATTTGCTGAGTGATTTGCAGTTTTATGGGTCCTGCAAGGGTCCTCAGTTCCTAGTGATGTCAAAAAGTGGTCACTAACTTTGAGTTACTTAATTCAGTAAAAACAAACAAACAAAAGCAAAAAAGGCCCAATACATAGTTACTCAAAAATGCTAAGTCAGCAGTGTTAATGCCTAAATAAAAGCCTAGGTCTTGTGATCTCTCTATATGGCAGGTCTTGCTCTTATTTACATTCCCAACCTGGAAAAAGCAAGCTCATCTGTCTGGAAACAGCCCCATGCTACAAACACCTGCTTCCCACCCATCTCATGTCCTAATAGAATCTTTTGTTTTATATGTCCCCCAGCTATGACAATGAGCCTTTCTTTAACATCCCCATTGGGGGACGAATCCCTGACCTTGTGCAAATGCCAACCAACGAGAGCGAAGAGGAGTGGAAATGGAATGACCATGAGCAGGGATTTTCTGCACTGAGGCACCCAGGTACAGCCCAGAGTCTGGGAACATTTAGTAACTTCAATCAGTGCTGGTTCTTTCTTCTCTCCACCCTGACTTAAATTCCCCCACTCATCTCTGTCTGTCCCTCATCTGCTGGCACCACCTGCTAATCTGAACTATGTAGGTTATCATTACATGTACATTGTTATTTTTCAAACCAACTGTACCATCCAACTTTGGGTTTGGAAATTAGCAAGTTTGAATAAGATTGTGTGGAAAAAATACTCTCCTTTCGTTGTTGTAATTATAGTCATAATGCTTATGATTTTACACAGCTCCTTCTCAAGCATTTAGTTGCTGTTCAGAACCTCAAATGCTATTTGTGAAAAGATTGTGTCAACCATCACAGAAATGCATCACCTCTGGGGTGGAATGCAAGTGATTTTAGGAGTAAGATATTCCTCATGGCACAACAGCTCAGGAGAGAAAGTATACTGTATCCAGGTAAAGTTACAAAGTAAGTAGGCTTATAGAATGAGGTGGAGACTTTAATACTTAGATAGCTCTCAGGTTTGCTTGCCATGTAGGAAGGCCAGCGCTTACCAGCATCAGTGGCTTTGTAAGACCCAGAGGTAATAGTGCCACCTATTGCATATCTTGACTTTTCTGAGGGGGATATTACCTTAATAGCAGCAAGGATCAACATTTCTTAGCTTATGGGATCAAACAAGGGTATTATTACTTACATGATTTACACCTGGATCTGATTCTTACAAATCTCTTTTTTAGTTTATTAACTGTACAATAGACCCCATGAGGGTTGCATTTTACTTGACAGTACTGATCAGATGTCAGAACAATTATTGTATCATCTAACAAGAAACAGATTTCAAGAAACTGAGCTCACTCTCAAACTTACTCTTAAGGAGTATCCAGATTATGGGAGCTATATACATATAACTTTATAACTGAGTATCATTTTCTTTTCTTTTGTCTCTCGTGTCTGGCTTATCTCCAACCCTTTGTGTTCTGCGGTTCCCCTGCTAGAAAAGTGTGTGTGCAAAGAAAAGGTGCTTGGAAGCGTCACTGACTTCTGCCAAATGAAATATGCTTACGGTAAGTGGGGAACATGCCCTCAAGGTATGATAATTTCACAATGTTCTCTCTATGCAAGTTATTAGCTGATAGCTATGAAGAATGACAGGGCTGGCTAAGTCATGAAATAAGAGGTAGGATTTCTTCTGCCTTTTTCGTCTAGTGACATGTCCAACTTCTGATCAGAACTGAATAGCATTTTTCATGCAAGGTTCCGTGGTCTCTCCTTCCCACCCAGTTAGCTTCCCTGTTTACAGCAAACAGTGCTAGAATTGTAACTCAGTGGAATGGCTGGCCTCTACATTACGAATAAATGATAAAAACCTTGCGTCTAAACCACCATTGGTTTTGCACTCATTATGCAGGTTCAAATGGCCACACTTGTTTACCAAGAATGTATTTAATATTGTTATTTATGAACAACTAGTTCATGCCATCACATGAAGCAAGAAAGGAAAGCTCTGGGATCCAAAGGTTTGATGTGCTTGTGTCACGACACAACAAAGCCTGCTTGTGGGGCCAATCTAGATGAGACTACCCTGCCAAAAAGTTACAGGATCCTATTAAATTAAAGGAACAGAAATTTATCATGGCAACCAGATGTTGGGCCGCAAAACAAAAATGCTTTTTTCTGGTTTGTTGTGCAATCATGGAATTTTAGCCATGTGACATGCCTGCAGTGTGATGGGAAACTTCCTGACTTCCTTCCTGTAGAGCAGACAGTCCCTTCCCACCACAGAAAATTTTTGAGAGGCCAATGTTAAAGCTCAACACAAGTTTTCAAACTGCAAAATATAAAGCCTAGAATCAGTGCACTTAAACTCAGACTGTTAGCTGCTGATCTGTTTTTTCTACCTTTCCTGTGTATATATACAAGTGCTTCCTATGATTTCCAAGCGTTTGACATCAGCCCATTAAAAAGTAGTTGCTAAATAACATGGTGAAAGGATCCGTTAACTACTTCAATAGAAAAATCTAGCTTTTCTTCTCCAAATTTATTTAGAAGAACCATGACTGAAGTGGACAAGCACTGGAATACACTTTCTGTACAGCTGCAGTGTTTTTTCATGTCTTCTTTCAAGGTGTTAAAATTCTACCTTATAGCAGCATAAACCAAATTTCATTTAGAAATTCATTGTTGGTCTCTATCTTGATATGTTTTCTGGCAGTGATAAAAGCAAGAATCCTATCAGCTCATGACAAAGGGACCCACGCAGAAGTAGTTGTGAAAGTGAAGAAGGTCCTGAAATCAGGCAAGGTGAAAATTGCTCGGAGCAACAGAAGCATTTACCCAGAATCCTGGACCAACAGGGGATGTACATGTCCCATTCTCAATCCTGGTAAGGACAAAATGCTTACCAGGTATTTTCTTTCCCCTGTAAACAGTGCTGACAATTCATTATGAACATTAGCTATGGCTACTGAACACTTCCCATCAGTCTTTCTGGAGCAGAGTCCTTTGATTCATCCACACCAAAGAGGGAGTCAATAGACAGCTGCAGTAAAAAGCATTTTCTTATCAGAGAACAAAGTTTTACCAAAAAGCCCAAACCTCCTGGAAATGTTTTACTTTCACTGACTTTTCCAGAATATTTGTGACTAGAAGAATATTTGCAAAGAAAAAAAAAATCCTGTATTTTTATGTTCAAAGTGTTTTCTTTCTCACTCTGTATTCTCATATCATGCTTTACTTCTTTTTTGGAAAAACTAGACATTATTATAAAAATTTTGAAAAGTGGAGGGAATCTAACTACTTCTATGCCTTTGTAATGGTTTCAAATAATGAAAAGTAAGCCTTCATTCTTTCTTCTACTGGAAATTCTAGTGCACTCAATGGTTTGTTTCATCAGACACTAAAGCTGACAACCTGCAGCATACTGGAAACCAATCAAGGGTGGAGGGCATAAACCCAAATGAATTTAATTTCAAACCAAGTAAGACAGGAAAATCTTTAATAATTAGAAAAATCATCTTTTAAGTAAATAAAGCCCCTCTTTTTATAACCAGTTTAGGATACGTCTCTAGGTTTGCTCCCTAACCACATTCTATCAGAATGATCCATGTTTCTTCATTTTTAATGATGGGAATCTCCATGCAGCAGTGGAGTGGAGAAGTAGGGTAGTGGAAAGCTGCAGCAACTTTCTCCCAAGCTCTGCTGCAGGCAGGAACATCACACTGTAGACTGCAAAGCTTCCATGCTAGCGCTGAGTAATGTCAGTGGCTGAGCAGATACATTCCTCAATTGAACCCTCCCTATTGCTGCCTGTCCTGCAATACAACTCTGGACCACAGAGAAAAGTAAGTTTCCTTGAACAACAGCTAAAATCTCTGGGTAAATCTGAGAGTCCTGCAAATTTGAGCCTGGATTCTATTTTTTTTTTTCAAGTAGAATCATAGAATCATTTAGGTTGGAAAAGACCTTTAAGATCATGGAGTAAACCTAACACTGCCAAGTCCACTGCTAAACCATATCGCTAAGTAGGTGCTGGGTGTCTAATTCTGACAGATTTTGATTACTCACAGTTTTTCTTCATATCACTGGAAGTTCCAAGTCTGTGGGACCATGTCCTGGGATCAAATCCCAATAAGACAAAGACTTAGGGTGTCATTATGGTGACCGGTAGTGTATGCTGGGAATCATGTTTCACTATTCAACCCTATGCCACAGAAAATGGTGACTTGTCGTCGTCATTCTAAAAGCAGCACCTGATAGAAAAATTACCCCAGGTTTTTTTTCCTCTGAATAGATTAAAAACATATCTGGAGTGAGAGGAATTCCTTGTGCTTCACTTAAAATGTAAGGTTTACTCTAACCTTTAAGACGAGTTCTCAGCTGATATTAGCCACATAGAAGAGACAGCTGTTTTAGGAAAGGCTGTGTCAAATTAAATTCAGTATGAATTTTTCCTGTTACGGCAAAATGACCCATACTGTCTCAGAAATGAATTTTGTCTTCCATTTTCTGTATCAAGTGAAAGACTTGCATCTGAATTTGTATTGAAGTGTAATATGAATCCTCAGCTCTCTTTTTGGGGGTAGTTCTTGAATTCACACATAATTTTTTTGCCTTAATGTAGTTCAAATGAATAAGGTGTTTTCCTTTACTTAAACTCCAGTGGCACAGTTGTGCATAATTATTTACCAGTGCTCCCTGCAAAACTCTGGGAGCCCTGAATCAGATGTGAATAAAACATATTGCTTAAATATTATGAGAGTACATCTGATCCCACAGATATTTGATGAGGGAAAATATCACAGGACATTTTTATCCTTCTTTGTACCTCCTAGCTTTACATTGCACCTCTTCAGAAACATAGGGCTGAAGACATACAGCTCGGAAATTTCGATGTTAGAGATATAGATGTTATGCCTTTGCCTTGATATAAATTAAAGCTATGGACTGGTCCCAGTTACTGCAGTTCTGCAGATTTCAACATATTGCTTGACAGAACCCCTGCCCAAAGATCACAGTATGCCCTGACTTATTGGCATAAGTCAATGAAACCTTACTTTTTCTCTCTTCTTGGGGCTTTTACACTCACCTTTACCCTCCTTTCTATACAAGCATTAGCAGTTGCTTCCCAGCACACAACTTTCAAGAAGGAGGGAACAAAGGTATAAGTAGCAGCCACTAGATCCTTGTGGATCTGTGTGCAGAACCTTACACAACTTGCCATGGGTGCCTCTCTGTTTCTCTATCTCTATTGTATGTATCTCTATTCTGATCAATGAGGGAATTTTACTTATTACAGTTAATACAACACAAAGAGTGTTTATACATCTACTAAGGCAATTTATTAGTAGTGCTTGTTTCTTGTTTCCACATGTAGTTACTTGTTTGTTAACAGACCTCATTTTTGAGGCCCTGCTACCTGTATCTTAAGGATATAATCTAGGAAATCTGGTTTACTACTTTCATATATAATACCAGCTTCCACATCTGTTCAGGTTGAATTCTGCTACTCATCATACCTATACAAGCCAGGATTAACGCTACTGAAGCTCACGGAGTTACAATGGCTTAAAACAAAGGTCAGACAGAGCAGACTCAAACCTCGTGATCTGCACATGGAGGTGTTGAATTTGTAAGTGGTAAGGCCACTGGAACTAAATCCATTTGTAGTTGTAATTCCTGAGCATAATCATATGAGAGCATTGAACCTGTGTGCCCAGGAGTCACACTGGAAGTATTTACACACAGAAGATGGCACATGCATAAACTGGATGAAGCTGGCTAAGATGCTACATGCCAGATCCTTATGAAATAGAGAAATTACACATGAAATTCTGTTTTCTTCTATTTGACTGAAGTTTTTCCTTTTTTTTTTTTTTTTAAACTAGGCACTGACTATCTTATAGCAGGCCAGGAGGACTCTAGGACCAGCAAACTCCTTGTGAACATGAACAGCCTGGTGAAACCCTGGAAAGCGTATTTGGGAAAACAAGTATCAGATATTCTTCGAACTGGGTGCAAATAATTTCTGCTTCAGAAGTTACAGTGCTAAACTTCACCTTTTAGTAACACTGCAGTGAAAGGTGTAGTTAGTTCACGCATTTCCATTCAACGTGCTCCTAGCTGGAGTGCTGAGAGCAGACTTACTATCCTTTTTCCTTTCATGTGCTTAGACAGGAAACTTGGGACACAACTACTTTTTCCTCAAAAAATGCACAACCTTATCATACAAATTAACTAGTACATCATACATAGGTTACAAGTCAGTTCTTCATTTGAGCCTGATTCCACACATCCAGAGAATCATTTTGCAAGGCAAAACTAAAGATAGGGATTAGTGTTTCCATACTTAAGGTCAGAGCCTGATATTAATATGTATAAGCTGCTTACATAATGCATTCATCACTTGGGTGTAGTTTTCTTTATAAGTGACTACTAACAGGCAGCAATTTCTTTCAGCTTTACAAGTGGCATAATACTAAACAAGCATGACAAATAATACTTATTTAAAAGAGCTCAGATTGATTTAACATCAGACTGCAATTGTGCCAATATAATGGGTTGTTTTCTAGAAGGCAATATTATCCCATTGCTGAACAGAAACCAACTATCATGACATGTTGGGACAAGGGCCTTTATAGATGTCTGTTGCTATCATCAATACTTAGTGCTGAGGTCTCCTGCAGAAATCACCTTGGCTCAAACTTGATTCCAAATCCACCCCTTGCTCTCCAAGGTCATTTTGCTCTTTGCTGTAGTACTTGAATCTGTAACTCCACAAAGGCTTCACAGCAACTACCACTAAAAAGCCTTATTGCTAGGAAAGAGCCAATACATGTGAGCAACTAGCAGCAGCTCTAATGCTGAGATTGTGACACTACAAAAGCTACAAGGCAGAAGCAGGAGAAGGTAAATGGATTGGCTGGACTGTGTACTAAATGAGGTAGCTTTAGTTCCTATGAAAGCAACCTGGCTCTTCGAACTGTGCCTAAAACCACAGGCATTTGATTGCACTTAGTGCTTTCATTCTGCTTTATTTCTCTTGGTCACATTTCAGGTTAAGATAGTGAAGCTAGACTTCCTTCCCATTGTGCCTGAGGTTTATTTTTCCCTCCAGAGAAGTAGAGGAGTTAGTTATAAAATCTGCACTCTACGTAAAAATAAATCTGATCTACAAAAGCATTCTTTCTAAATCAATTTTACCCTACAATAATTGAGGTAGCTACTTAAATCATTCCCTAACATGATATTTTGAGGAAATTGTAACTTAAGAGTTGCATCCCCCTTTCAAGGGTTCATGATCAAATGAAGCTGGTTGGAGCACATTCCCTCTTCAAGTAAAGCAAAAATTATACTGAGTCAGTCTACTCTTTCAGGGGGTTACAGAGAAAAACATGCACACATGCTACTTTTGCATATTTCTGTATATTTTATAATTTTTAATGGTCTCAGGAAAGGGGAAGATATCTTCATTTAGCACTTACTGGTACATGGAGTATCTAGAAAAAAATAATATTAAATGCAGAATGATGGAAGTCCCAGTTTACAGCCTTGGCCATCAGTTTGTTCTCTTTATCACTGGGAACCTGAAAAACCAGCTTCTTTCATTCCATTTGTTGCTGTTTTCCTTTTAACTTCATATTGGTTTTAACAGCAGAAAAATCCTCAGCTCATTTGGAAATGGATGACAGGCAGGTATTTACAAAATAAAAGCCTCACTTTTCTCCCAACAGTGCATAAACAGTGTTTCTTCCTCTCCCATTTTCAGGAAGTCTCCCCTCCTCCATTGTCATTACTTTCCCTCTTTCACTTCATCATTATTTATTTGCTGTTACCTAAAGTGGTATCCAACAGTGTGGCATCTCCAACAAGCCAGTTAATTAATGCAATAAAACACTTTTTAACCAAGGAATTTGGATTAATTTGAAATGTCAGCTTACAGAAATTAGGAGCATAGCAACTGCTTTCTTTACTGTCTCCAGAAATCATCTCACAACAAAAAGATTGACTAGTTCTCTTTCAAATATCAATAGAGATGTGTACATGAATTTACAGTCTGTTCTCAAAGGGCCTCTCAATAAATGAAAAATCAAGTGTAGGTTTAGAACTAAACTAAGGCACATGCTTTTCAACCAAGGCCATTTTACCTGCAGGCAATCTTATTTAATGGTAATCATATTCCATTTTGGTTCATAGTTAGTACTGTTATTAAAGCAAACTCCCATATTCTACTTTTTGTGCCAGATTGGTGATTTTATGGGGAAGGTAAACATCTGCATAGTTCCTTTCTGTGGATGAAAGTTATTTTTTAACATGGTCATTTATAAGCATTTCTAGCTACTAGTAGTAGAAATACTATTTGGAACAAGAATATTGATATCCTGATGTGTTCTTTTGGGGCCTACTATAATACAGTGATTAACAACTACCAAATGCAAACACTGTTGTATGCAAACAAGATAGTCATCAATATATCACACATTTCAGATATCTCAAAAGTAGGTGATACATACACACACTTCAGAGAAAACTGTAATACAAGTGGAGCTTGCATTACACAGCTATTTTCTTCTCTTCCGCCTAATTTCCCATTCTTTTTGAATCTCTAATTTACTTGCTGGTACCAGTATAGCTAAGTCTACTTCACTCCCTCTGTTAGCTCAAAACATTGCACATTTTTTTCCTACTACTAGCTTGCATTCAATGGTTTTGCTCTACAGAGTAGCAGGTATTCCATCAGCATGGCATTTAATTTGAAAGTGAAAAATGAAAACGCATTAGGGTGAGTTAACACTGCAAGTTGACTTTTTATTGGTATCGCTACTTCTGCTAATCAGGTATCTCTGAGTTCACAAAGAAAAATAAGAGTTCCAACTCATGCAGAGCTACTATGTGCAATCTCTGTTCTGCCGTGCTACAATCCAGGTAGCCAGTCTGAAAATAAATTCTATCTAAATAGAAATGAACTGCATAGATCGAGTTAGAACAACTATTGATTAAAGAAGAGATCAGAAAGTTTAAACTGATCACCATGAAACTTTGGAAAGGAAAAAAGTTATTTTCTTGTGTACTGGTATCTGAAATGAAGATAAGCATGAGACAGTGCAAGATGACAACCATCTTCCTAATAGAAGCTGTTACATATTCCTCAGAACAAGCAAACAAGGTCATACATTGCAAATTAAAAGAACTACAACAGAAGGTACAGTATTCCTGTACCAAAAAATAGTTGTTTTGTAGTCCTGTGTACAATATCACATACCTTGTGATCCTCTCTGTGACTGTGTCTTAGGTAGCACAGCAATACAAAGAATACAAACATGGAAAAAAGTATGCATTTGCCCAGTACAAAAGTGGCTGGACAACTTCTTTTAGTGTGTCTAAAATGGGACCTGTCTTTAAAATGGACACATGAACAACCCTACAGCACCCAAATAGATAAGGTGCTACAAGCAGTAGCAATGATTTATCACTTGGAAATCCTGCATAAGGATGAAATAAAAGCCTTTACCCATAAGAAGCCTGGAAAGCTGTGGAAAATTTGTAATAGGGCAGGTGACTGAAGCAGAAGCACATGTAACTTTTCACAGATACAGCAGCAAACTCAGGATTGCTGGAGTCAAAGTAGCTCTAACAGCTGTGCAGCACGTGTGTCCATTAATACATGATCATTCTGGCAATGTGGACCCTTAAAGCATCAAAGTAGTTCATTAAACAGCCATTGTGAGCCCTACCTCCAGTGTACCGACATACTGCTACTAATGCTTCTCCAGCTTCTGCTCTTGGTAAGCAGCTAAGAAGGAAAACGTACCTATGCGCAACCTTTGTGCACTGCTTTTCTGAGAGTGGCTCACTGCTATGAAGAATAAGTTTTCTCTGTAGCATTTACCATGTCTCATAATTTTTCCATGCTGCTTGATATAAGCTTTCTTTGAATTGATATAATTCACATGATGTGCTCCTTCAAGTCCCCCAGATCCAGAAAAGTGAGTGTGTTATTTGTTATGTGTTGTAGCACTTTTTTTGTACTTAAAACTTCAATTAAAAATACTCAGACATTTATATTGATGTGAGGTTTGGGATCTACTTTTAAAAATGTAAACCATGCAATCCTCAAACCACATGCACATTAAGTCTTTTTAAGTTAATAAACCACAAACATTCCAAACATCAGGTTCTTGCTTTGATAGTGTTAGCACAGAGTCAGGCAAATGGAGAAAAGCATTTAGCTTATAAGGCAACCATGATAAATGTTATTTTTCTACTGATAAGAAACATTATGATGTACCACTTTCAAATGCACTAGTCTGAGTCTTAAAAACTGTCCCTGTATATTGGTACTAGATAGTAGCTTTATGTGTTTTCATGACAAGTAACATAGGACAATGTACAGTACAAGTTCTTCTAGCCCAGATTCTCAGGCCCTCGGCTCTTAAGCATTTGAAAAATCATGAGTCTAGCTAGGAAAACATTAACTCCAATTCATTTGTATTGTGACCTTTATGAGAAAAATCACAAGCACTGAGGATATTTCAATTGTTAACTGTGCAGGTAACACGCACTAATAACACCTGTACACACTCCCAATATAAAAACATAATGGTTATCAACTGGACTAATTCTAAATCAGCAGCTTCACACACAGCATGGGAAATGCTAACAAGCATAGCATCCAACTATCCAATTCTGCCAACCTTTGCTTGTTCTATGCAGGGCCAAATTGGAAGAAAATCAGCTGGATCCAACCTAGTTAATTAGTTTAGGTTCTTTATGCTGCAAGAAAGAAAAACAGGACCTTGGGCCAGGTAAGGGAACAGAGCCAATACCTGTAAGGAGAAACATGACTGGCTGTAGGGGAAAAGGAAGCAATACTAGTATTTGGGGGCATATGAGAAGGGGACAAAATAGAAAGGAAAAGGAACAGGATGGAGGCAGCAACACTCATAACAGTAAGAAAAAGGTCAGAAACCACAGACGTAGAAACCAAATGCCCCTCTCCCACATAGCACCCTATGAAGGGAATGA